GATTTCGTTAGTATTATTCCAACATTGGTGGTCGGTCCATTTATAACAACATCTATGCCGCCTAGCCTCATCACCGCGCTCTCTCCTATCACTCGTATGTACACCCTTCTTCTTTTGTTGGAAATGTGAAAATGTTAAATCTAAAACGATGATATATTATAATGTTTTAGGGAACGAGGCACATTACTCGATTATAAGACAAGGACAGTATGTGCATTTGGACGACTTATGCAACTCTCATATCTTCTTATACGAACAAGAAGCTGCCAAAGGACGTTATATTTGTTCCTCTCACGATGCTACAATTCTTACTATCTCAAAATTTCTCAGGCAAAAATACTCCGAATACAACGTGCCTTCAACGTAAGATATATCCGTTTAAGCCTGATCTTTTTGTTCAACCAAAATCTTTCGGTCCATATATAATATCTTCGTCCTAAAACATTCTTTGGAACAGGTTTGAAGGTGTGGATGAGAATCTAAAGAGCATTGAGTTCAGTTCCAAGAAGCTGACTGACATGGGGTTTAACTTCAAGTATAGTCTCGAGGAAATGTTAATTGAGTCTATTGAGACATGTCGTCAAAAGGGTTTTCTCTCGGTTTCTTTACCGTACCAATCCATATCGGAGAACAAAGGTCCGACGAAGGATGACAATATTGAGCTCAAAGCCGGAGATGGTTTAACCGATGGTATGATGCCATGTAACAAGATAGAACCGGGGCTAACCGGCGAGAGAACCGATGCTCCCATGCCAGCAGAACAGATGTGTGCTTAGAAAATTCAAACGTTATATTATATTGTCATATCGCTTTACTATTGGAGGTGTCATTAATTTGGCTTTGTTTTATGTTACTAATCATAATTTATCATTTGCGAGTGATATGAACTGATTTATGTTTTATAGTATGTGCTAGTATCGTGTGTGAGTGTAACGGTATGAATGAACCTATATACTTATTTAAAGAGTGTTGTCTTTGAATCGACTGAACTTTACAAGTTATATTTGTTACAACAAACCTTAAGATGATTTGATCTTTATTTTTTTTTGTATGAATGTAAAATTATATCCAACAAAAAAACTGTTTTACAATAAATGCATCATTTTAAATAGAGAGATTGAAAAAATCAAAAACATCTTAGTTGTTATCGGGTATACAGGTATGGAACCAAAACCGCAATCCGCCTTCGAACTTAGCATTGACCAGTTGAATGGAGCTGAACTGGTTCCTAACATTTTCATCAATGAGTTAGACAAGTTTTGAGGCCGGAGTTGCAGGCTCCCCATGACGTCTACCGTTGCGCTCTCTCCATAGACTATGGATGGATGTTAGAAACACATACCGCAAGGTGAAGACTTCAAGATGAGACCGAGAAGCATCAAGTAGGTGCTGAGTGATTACGCCCCAGCTCGCCGTGTATCTCTGGTTGAGAAGACCACCGGTTAGAGGATGCCAAATCTTGGAAGAGTAGGGACATGAGAAAAACAAATATTCACGTGTCTCCAATTCTGCGCTGCAAAAAACACAACCAACTCGAGCATCTCTGTAAAAAATCCATGTTATTGGAATGGTCTTTGTAAAAAAATCCATGTTATTTATTTTGACAGTTAAATATGCACTAATCATTCAACTAAAAGATGATGCTATATCTGTTGGTCCGACCAACTTGGTCGTAATTGAGTTTGTAATGTATTAAGTCAGTTATTAATTAAAAGTCATGATGTTTAAGCTATTTCGTGTTGTCCAAAAGTCACAAGTAGAAGAGATGCAACTCTTTGTGTCTGTTGTTTGTCTATTTAAACTTCATAACTATGATGTAAACACACAAATTTCCTACTCTGTTTTAACAAGAAGTAAACACTTACAGTATAACCTCTATAAATTAATACCCTACAAATTAATAAACACGATAAAATAATAAATTTTGCTTGTTCCGAGTTGGACCAACCAAATTCGATAAGATAATAAGATAATAAGTTTTTCGAAATTCTTATATAAAAATATGGTCACAATAATATCACAAATTAATAATCATGCAAATTATATATAATATATATATATATATATATATATATATATAATTTTTAGTGTTTTTCATAATGGGGAAAACGTCAAAAAAATCATGAACTTTCAAATTTGGGACGATTTAATCATGAACTACGAAGAAGACATATAAATTGTAAAGTTTTTCTTGACTTTAAAATTAATTAGCAAAGTTTGGTTGACTACCCATTTTAGACATAGAGTTAAGTAGGCTAACAGAAAACGATTACGGTGTTAAACTCCCGTTTGTCTTCTCTGTTATGTCAAAACGATATCATTTACTGTAGCAACAAAACCTAAATCCCCAAATCGTTTTCATTCCCTAACCCTAGAATTTCTCTGTCGCTCCCTCTGTTGAAATTGGCTCCTGGATTTCTTCCTTTCAATCTGCTCCAATGAGTTCAAGCTCTGTCACATCAGGTGTCGTCGAAGATCGTGGTGTTCCGTCGAAGTGTGTGTGGTTTAGATGTCAAGATCTTCACATCAAAAACGCAAGAGAACCCAGGAGCGAGAGAGAGAATGGGGATTCTAGGGTTAGGGAATGAAATCGATTTGGGGATTTAGGTTTATGTTTCCCAAAATCGTCTAAACGACTTCGTTTTGTAGGTACAGTAAACGATATCGTTTTGAAATAACAGAGAAGACAAACGGTAGTTTAACACCGTAATTGTTTTCTGTTAGCCTACTTAACGCTATGTCTAAAATGGCTAGTCAACCAAACTTTGCTAATTAATTTTAAAGTCAACAAAAACTTTACGATTTATGTGTCTTTCTCGTAGTTCATGATTAAATCGTCCCAAATTTGAAAGTTCATGATTTTTTTGACATTTTTCCCTTTTCATAATAGCCAAACTTTTCGGTAAGTTTTCAAATTTTGAATATGCATAAATTTTTTGTTTTAATAGTCGAATAGATTTCTCAAATACAACAATTAATGTCATTATTTATAAATTTGAGTTTATAAATATCGTTTATATATGTGAATTCTAAAATCTTTGTTATTCATTTTCAAAAATTTGTTTTATCTTCTAAATATTAAATGTTTAGATCTAAAACTCTAGAACTTAAAAGTTGAAACTGAAAACTCTAGAATTTTAAAAAGTCAGATTAAACATGAATAAAGTCGATCATTGTAGTTACATGATGACATTCGATCTATAAGAAAATCTTGTTTATCCTCGATTCTTTTTTTCTTAATATTCTGAAAATGTTGTCATTTATAAGCATATGTCACATTTTTTCTAATTTTAAGTTTAAGAGATTCACGACAACCACGTAAATCACTATTTTTGTCGTATATAGAACACACCCAAAAAAAAAGATATTATATTGTATTTAGTGTTCCGCTCTTTGCTAAGTCTCATTTTTGGGCCGACTGCGTCTTTGGCCCAACTTTTGATATATTTTAAATTGAATTGATGGACTTTTAATGAGGTTAGTGGGGCGAATTTCATGTGAAGAGTCGAGATCCAACATTTATGCTGAAACTAAAAACCGAACCAAAACATCTAACTGAAACCACGTCGAGGTCTTTTTTTTTTTTTTTTTTTTTTTTTTTTTTTTTGTCAACAACTTTATTAGATTAGCTTATACAAGCTAATTTTGGGGAATATTGAAACCACGTCGAGGTTTGATCATTTCGATTTAATTTCGATTATTACAATAGAGGTTATCACTACTAGAAAACATGGCATATTCCAACAAATGTTTCTAACAATCGAATTTTGTTGGAAATTTCCAATGAATATCCCATAAAATTACGTTTAGTATTATATTTGTTAGAAATCTATTGTAAATTTCCAACAAATTTAAGTTGTGGCAAGTACATCACATAATTTATAGAAAAATTGTGGAAATTTTCCAACAAATACTATATTGTTGGAAATTCAGTGCAAATTTGCAACAAATTATAATTGTGACAATTACATTGCATACTTTGTAGGAAAGTCGTTGAAAATCTCCAAGAAATATTATATCGTTGGAAATTCATTACAAATTTTAGTTGTGGTAATTACGTTGTATAATTTGTATGAATATTATTGGAATTTTCCAACAAATATTATATATTGTTGGATAGAAGCAATAACTTTTAAGTTGTTGGAAAATTCTAACAAAATATTTGTTTTCTAGTAGTGTATCTTGACACTCCAAGGCGAGGAATCCATCAAGTGTGCCTAATGCAGTGGCGATGACATAGTGTCCACCAAGAGGAATGAACTCAAGTTCAGAATTAGAAGGATTATAGAGGTTTCCCTAAAAAAAAAAACAAAAAGTTAAAAATTAGTGGGATTCTGAGATCAAGTATTAATCCACAAAAACAAAGATGGGAAATCAAATGCTTTAGAAAATATATGAAAGTAAACTAAGAAGCAGAATTAAAATACAATTCCTGACCTGAGTGGTGTAATAAGAAGGATACACTTCGAATTGAATACTGAGTGGTCCTCCCTCCCTGAGCTGATACTCCAACTCTTGATGAAACATTGATACACCATCCTCACCACCATAGTCCGCTATGTAATCATAGATAGAATGAACGTCACAAATGCTTGGGATAATTCTCTCACATCCCTGTATCAAGGGAAAACAACATTAATTAAAGGTTAATTTAACAAAGAGAGAAGAGAATGAAGGAGAGAGAACATTTTACCTCAGTCGTTGTGCTCTCATCCAGGAAAATCTGCTCCTCAGTGATAGGACAATCTTCTTCGTATACTATTCCACTCTCTCTAAAATGATGGGCAAGAGCATAAACATTTAAAATTCCAACTTCATTATCTATAAAAGGACCAACTACACCATGTTCATCGTAATAATGCCTCGGCGTGGAATTCATTAACTCCTGGATAGACAAGACTTTAGCAATATTGATAGAAGCCTGAGTTCCCAACCATTTCTTCATCTTTCGAACCAATTGTACGTATTATGATAGAATCGATAGGCTCAAGTACTATAAAATACATTTGGTTTATAGCTCATGTCATGATGTCAAATAATTGAAATCAGAATTCAAAATTGACATAAAAATTAGAAAAGATTGCAATATTCTTTTTTATTTTGCAACCTATTATTTTATTAAATTATATTTGGTGATAGTTTACAGATAATAAAGAAATATCAATTTCCACAATTAAAACTACAGAGGCAGGTCTGGTCTAATGGTTCAAATCCAGGTGGTTCACACGATCCTTTAACTCCTACTCCTTTCCACTTGGTAGAACACTCTTGGTTACACTGATTAATTTCACAGTGTTCTGCTTGAATATAGTCATGACATGTTTTGCCTTGCGTCTCCTCCATCACCATTCCTAATAATACATTTTAAAACATATACTAATATCATTTTAATTATTTTTTGTTACAAAAATAAAAAGTTGATGAACAGAAAACCAACAAAAAAAAGAGAGAGAAACACAGAATATTTAATATATTTTAAGTGTAGAGCATACCAATAACTAAGAGAACCATGAAAATTGTGAGAGCAGTGTTTTTAGTCATCTTTGATGATACAATTAAAACAAAAATGATGGATGTAATTGTATTGTGAATGATGTGTATATATATATGATAAGTTGGATGCATGCATCTATATTTACAAAACTATCATGAATTATAAAAAATATAAAGTAATCAGTTAGTAATTAATTAGATGCTTGAATTAGTGTTAACCCAAAAAAAAGAGCAAAGAAATCTGTTAGTAATTAATTAGATGCTTGAATCGGAAAAAACCATCAAAAGACATATCTAGAAATTAATTAAAAGTGAAAACATATAAGCAGGTTATAAATCATAATAGATGCTGACTTTAATTAAACTATGTCATAAATGAATAAAAATATGATAAACTCAACAAATATTAAATAGATGCTGTTAAAAACATATATATATATAATATGAAATATATTTAATTATTATTTTTATATGATAACTAATATTGAAGGTTTGCTTAATCATGTTTAAGTAATTTATTAGTTTAAATGTAGGGCATTTGCAAAAAATACCTTTTTTCCTAAGCCTTTTTCGAAAATACATCTTCCTATTGTCCATTTTTATTTTATATACACAATGACTAAATTACTATTTTTAAAGTGAGAGCAGATAATGAGCCAAAATTTATTTTTCCCGCTAAAACATTTCCGTAGAGGTCAAAATCTTCCCGCTATAAAAATTTCCGCCAAAATTTTCCAGGCCCAAATTTTCTTGCCA